ATGTCATTGTGGCTTGTGCACTGGAACGCGACCTCCAGATTCTCGACCACGGCGACGAAACACTGGTTGGAGAAAAGGGCATCACACTTTCTGGTGGACAGAAGCAACGTATTTCTCTTGCTCGTGCTCTCTACTCCAACTCTGCCCATCTACTACTTGACGACTGTCTGAGCGCTGTTGACTCGCACACCGCGCAATGGATCTTTAGCAACTGCATTCGAGGACCCCTCATGAGGAACCGAACTTGTGTTCTTGTCACACACAACACGACCCTCTGTGTTCCTGCTTCGGATTACGTGGTCCTGCTCGAGAATGGTCGAGTTGATATCCAAGGTCCTTCAGCTGAGGTTATTGCTTCCGGCAAGCTTGGTGAGGAGATTCAAAAGTCTCATCCCGGCTCAGCCAACCCCTCGCGCATTCCTTCTCGTGTCCCCTCAAGCGTCGGTGATGATGAAACCACCGTTAACGGCCAAGGCGATGCTCTCGATGGCGTGGATAGCTCCAAGAAGGACGCTCAGAACAAACCCAAGAAGGATGCTATGGAAGAGACCAAGGCCACTGGGTCAGTCAAGTGGCCCGTTCTCAAGCTGTACCTTCAGTCTATGGGCCCTTGGTGGTTCTGGATTGTTGCTCTCTTCGTCTTTATTTCTCAGCAGGTTTCTGGATTGGCCACCAACCTCTGGGTCCGCGTATGGGCGAACCAATACGTCAATGGTACAGCAGAGTCAAAGGTCATCCCGGCTATGTACTCTTCTACACAATTCAACGCTGTCGGCTTTGCCAACGTTGTCCGACTTGGCTCTGTGGAAGACATGAAGTCTCTCGATGGGTCCATTTCTGCGCAAGATCACCCGCATGGGGTCAACGCCATGTACTACTTGAGCGTTCTCGCTGCTATCGGAATTGCTGGTGCCCTCGCAGCTCTCTTCAGAGATCTGTGGATCTTCCTGGGATCGTTGACGGCATCAAAGGGCATTCACGATCGGTTGATAGCATCTGTGACGCGAGCTAAGTTCAGGTTCTTTGATGTTACGCCACTAGGCCAGTTGATGAACCGATTCAGTAAAGATCTGGAGGCGGTCGATCAAGAAATTGCACCTGTGGCAATTGGAGTAATCAGCTGTGGCATTTCTCTCATGATGACGGTTGGCCTGATCGCATACATCACACCCAACTTCTTGTACGCCGCTGCTGGTATTGCTGTTCTGTTCTACCTCATCGCCGCTTTCTACCTCCGAGCTTCTCGTGATCTGAAGCGTCTTGAGGCAGTTCAGCGCAGTCCTCTGTTCCAGCAATTTGGAGAGACATTGAGTGGTATGACAACCATTCGAGCTTATGGTGACGAGCGACGATTCATCCGAGACAATCTGGAGAAGATCAACACTCAGAGCCGACCCTTCATTTACCTGTGGGCATGCAATAGATGGCTGGCCTTCAGGGCTGATCTTGTGGGAGACTTGGTGGCCTTCTTTGCTGGCATGTTCCTTATCCTCAACCTTGGTAAGACCGATGCAGGTGCTGCGGGTATTTCTCTGAGCTACGCATTGAGCTTCACCGAGAGCGTTCTGTGGCTTGTACGTCTTTATGCCATTAACGAGCAAAACATGAACTCTATGGAACGTATCAAGGAGTATCTCGATGTTGAGCAAGAGGCAGAAGCTGTTATTGAGGACAGCCGACCCCCAGCAGACTGGCCTCGCAAGGGATCGGTCGAGTTTGTGGACTACACAACAAGTTACCGAAAGGAGCTCAACCCTGTCTTGCAGAACATTACACTCAAGATTGAGCCGCAAGAAAAGGTTGGTATTGTTGGAAGAACAGGTGCAGGCAAGAGTTCTCTGGCTCTGGCAATTTTCCGGGCGCTAGAGGCAGACAAGGGCAAGATCCTTATCGACGGACTCGAGATTGGCAGCATTGGTCTTCAGGATCTCCGAGAGAACATCACTATTGTTCCTCAAGATCCCACACTATTCCACGGCACGATTCGAAGCAACTTGGATCCATTCGATCAATACACAGATGATCAGATCTTTGCTGCGCTCCGACGAGTACAGCTCATTGGTCCGGATGAGGCTCTAACATCGCCACCTACGCCTACACAAACACCTGGCTCACCAAACTCACCGACTACCAAGACCAACAAGAACATTTTCTTGAATCTTCAATCACCAGTTGCAGCATCCGGCTCAAACCTGTCACAAGGACAGCGCCAGCTTCTGTGTCTTGCTCGAGCCATGCTCAAGTCTCCCACAGTGTTAGTCATGGACGAAGCCACAGCATCCATCGACTACGCCACCGACTCAAAGATCCAAGAAACAATCCGCGAGCTCACAGGCACCGTGATCACAATTGCCCATCGACTAGCAACCATTGTAGACTACGACAAGGTGCTGGTTCTCGATAAGGGCCAGGTGGTTGAGTATGCTCATCCTTGGGAACTCATCAACAACAAGGATGGTACATTCCGAAGTATGTGTGAGATGAGTGGTGAGCTGGATGTTCTCCTCAAGGCGGCGAAGAAGAAGTGGGATTCTGGACGTTTGGTGGATGTTGATCCATAGGGGGAGAAAGAGAAACTACCACGTATAGAAGAGGAGGATTAAAAGTATGAGAGGAACGGTTTCCGGGATTCAGTACTTGTATATTTGTGGTGATGAGCCATGGACTTGAATAAAAGTATAGAAGGCATATGCCTATAATTATGAGTTCCGAGCATTGACTGGTGCTGGGTGGTGCCTGAAATGTGTATCAGGATACTGTGGTAATGTCTAATGTCATCAAAATGAAGCCATCGTCAACGCCAAAGTGGGTCCGGAAAGTGGATGAGATCTTCTCCGCAATTCGGCGTCAAGATTGCATGAACTGGATACACCCTGATACTTCAATAGTTTAATACAACTTATTAACGTAGATACTGTATAGAGTATGTGTCTATTCATATAAATGCTTCAGTAACTGCATTACCCCTGCTCACTCAATGCAGGGCAAGCATGACTCTCAGGCAGCACCAGCTTTACTGACAAGGGTACGTATCTTTGCTTTCGTCACTGGGTTACAGACCGATTCGTTGGCCTTGACGACTTGACAACATAACATCAACTCTAGCTCTTGTCTTATAAAATAGTTTCATTCGCTTGCTCGTATCCCCCCTCTTGTTTACTGTATTCTTCTTCACCCCTCATTTTCCACCGCGGTTTTTTGGCAGTGCTTCACAGCCAATACTTACGTGTACCGCTGTGGCGAGGTCGGATTGGGCACGTGCTCAGCACTCCATCAGGATCTAGACTTGATCACCATCTCCGACTTTTTATATCGTTCTTCATCAACCCGTCACGGGCGATTAACTCTTTGGCTGTGGGAATATCGTCTAGTATGGCATCGCAGCGAACGTCACAGACTCCTCCGCACTTGGACTCGGAGAGCGTGACGAGTGGTCAAACGTCTACTTCGCAAATGCCGATGCATCATTACCCAGAGGATCAACGACAACAGCAGAATGTAACGCCTTATACGGACCGCTCAGAGGATGATCCGCCTCCGAGTTACACTGTAGTCGACAATGAGGGGCCTCACGCGAATCCATTTGACCTGTTGCCTACCAGCTCATCCTCCCTTGGTCTGCATCCCTTCAAGGGAACTTCCAACGACAAAGTAGTCTACTATCTCGACAAGCGTCTTGATGCAGACCCTGAATTTCTCGAACAGCACATCTCAGAACTCGCCAAGGAACCACCAAGACCATACGTTCGCATCCAAGGTCTAGGCCGCAAATCCAGCAAGGATGGAATCGACTTTGACATCCACATTGAACTCACGCCCCTGTTGTATCAAGAGATGGCAACCCGTCGTTCATGGAGACGCATACGCGCCGTGAACAATTTCGACAAAGTGCGCCGCGGGACAGCGACTATGACACGCGCACCGGGATTCGGAGGGAGAGGACCGCCAGAGGAGGGCACACCGGGTGTTGCGCAATGGTGCTATCGATACTGTGCGAGCAAAGCCGGTCTAAAGGTGTTTGTGCTAGAGCGGCGCTTGACGGGCTGGGATTTCGCCCTCGTGGGGTCTAGGCTGGAGAGTTTGGTGCGGGGGACGGGATATCGTGGGGAAGTCAACATTACGTTTCCTACGACGAATGCCCGCGTTGAGATATACAACCGCTGCATAACCAATCGATGGCGCCTCACACGATGGATTGTACTTTTGTTTTATTTTACTCTCCTATGGATATTCACTTGGCCGTGGGTATCGCTGCGAACGAGGTGGTACGAGACGGTATTCGTGGAGTGGTCGTTAAGCCGACCTGACAGACAGGGAACGCTACGATATGCATGTATGAGTGAAGATCAGTGGTTCAGGCTCTGGCGACGGCCCATTGAGCAGGCCATTCGGACGAGGCGGCGAGGACGGTTGAGTCGTGATGATATAGTGGACGAGTGTGTGGTGCCTGGGGCTGAAGACTCCGCGAGGGGGATGAGAGCGGGATTGGAGGTTTTGCAGCGGACGTTTGGATGGGGAGGAGATGGAGAGGGGAGTGGAAGACATTCGCCGTGTATTTGATGGTGTTTGGGTTGATGTTAGGGGCATTAGATTGAGCTCTCTCCTGGGGTTTGCATGGAAGCGTTGGCGTATTAAGATTGCGTTGCCTTGCATTGGTCTTTAGTTATGATTCATGATAGTTATTCCCAACTCAAAATGCTATTCGTTTGTGTTTTAAGCTGTCATTCTGGGTTTGTTGTGCTGTTTAACATGACCTTCTCACAATGTGCAAATGAGTCACCCCTGAGACGACACCACGAAGTTTAAGGGCCGGCAGGCGAGAGAGAAGTGCCAAAAGGCCTCATAATACAAGATCTGAATATCCGAGAGCCAAATTGATTCCCTCAGCTCATAATTAGATACGCTACTGGCGAATTCGATATTTCGAGTAATGGTCCAGGGTAGCTCTTTTCTTATCTTATCGGCCCCTCCACCCCACCAATGTCGCTCACTCATCATCTACACATCCCTTACCAATCTCATTCATCAAGTTCAAGCCGACTTATACTGCAGTCACTCTCTCTTTTGGCATTCATCGCATTTTATTTCACAAAATCAGGATAGAGACTTGAATCTACAGCCGCCACGATGACTGAAGCGGAGATGAGTTCCAGCTCAAGAAGAATACTGGCTGTGGCCCTTGAGAATGAGACAGCAGTTTTGTCAAAGTTGGTCAAAGGTGAGCTCACTTTATCTAGATGTACTAGTGGTCATATCTACGAAATATGCACTGGGATTGTTCACGAAAAGCACGTTTACTCACACATCACAGACCTCACAGGATCAGCCCCAGAATCACCAGATCCCTCCCTCGGCATCGCAGGCACAACTCATAGCCTCGCTCTCAAAACACCATACTATTCCACCACAGTTCCCATCTGGCTTGATCTCATCGCCTCACCTTCTGAATGGTCAGAGTCATTTCTCTCTCCCGAAGCCGCCGAAGTGCTCGCCGTGTTAGGAGGTGTAGTAGTAGTCTTCACCGCAGGTCCGATTTCATCGTCAAAGGATCACCCGGCAAAGGAACTAGTAGAGCACATCGGCAAAGTCCTGAAGAAGGGACTAGGAGGGTGGGAGTGGGATGGCGTAGGACTAGCTATCGGCGTGGGCGGAGATGGGAATGAAGAAGAATGGGATGAGATCTGCGCAGAGGCTGGATTGGAGTTTGTGTCTCTTGGTGGAAAAGGCGATACTGGTCGTGACGAATTTGGCGGTATGTTGAGTCTATCGCTCACAGAAAGTCACTAACGAGGAACAGAAAAAACTGGTGTTGCACGAGTAAAGGAAGCCCTCGAAGCAAATGACTGGTCTCAAATTGAAGCACCACTCTCAGATTCCGAGTTCGGCGACTTTGAAACCAGCTCAGCCAAAGCAGACGAAGACGACAAAGAATTAGATCCCCAAAAGATGGGATTTGGCTTTGACAAAACAGATTTTGAAGGTCTACGACGCGCCATATGGGAGTCCAGCCAGGATGTTGAAGAACCCTCAGAATCCAGCAAGGCGGAGACTAGCAAGGAGGGTGCTTCTGGGGGAATTGGGTTAGAGGACCTGGATGAGGACGAGATCGCCAAGATCGAGAAGATGATGAGAAAACTCCAAGCTGTAAGGGAAGCCGGCGAGGGGATGGGAGAGGAGCAGAGGAAGAGAATGGCGGCCAGGGCTGTGGAGGAGGTGATGAGGGATCTCTGAACTGGAATAGGCAACATGTGAATCTCTTCAAGACGAAATGATTCCTGAAAAGAACGATTGGCGCGTCGTTTCCAGAGCATGATGGACTCTAGTCCTCTCATACCTGTTCAATGATGCCCATACACCACGCTGACTGCCAGTCTGAATACCTGCCAAAGCTGATACCCCCACGAGTGGCACGATAGCTAACCTTGATCTATATGCCGAGTCCTCTGCGGCCGTCAAGGCATCGACATAGCACGGCTCGCTTACCGTGCCGTTGCACCATAGTCACATCGTACAACTCAGATCGTGATCCACGGACTGGGTCTTACGTAGTACATATCCAATGCTGGCGAGACCCTTTGGCTGGTATGTATGAGACCCAAGTCTCATGGCATTCGACAAGCACCATGATATTGGTAACCCGAAGTTCAGACACGCCTCGGTTCATTATAATCTGTACAAACCTACTGACAGTGGTAACACTGAGTTGGAAAGTCAAAGCGTGTTGCAGTCTCGGTCCCACATGTCTTTCCAGCACAGACACCTCCCAATTTAGACAATATGCAACGCATCGTGGCATCAGGTAACCCGCTCAACCTTGTGCTGTTATGGTAAAGTTTTTGTAGATCGGCATGGATCGTGACATCCAGATCACCGGACTCAACACCTCGGTGACATGCTCAATAGCTCTGTAGATAGCTTGGTGGTCTTGGGCGGTGTCGTAGCATATGCAAGGGAGAGATTCTGAGATTCTTCCAAAAGTCGCGGGCGTCGACTAATATGTCATAGCTTGTTGTTGGTAAATAAACTTGTCCCCTATCTTAAATGGACCGCTTGAATTGACGTGACTCGACTCATGGAGTTGGCGATCGATTAAACGGGGTCAGAGACCAAGTGAGGCCGGAAAGAAGCGACCCCGGGTCCAAGGGTCCACCGGTGATGTTGGTTAAGCCAGATTGAGACTGCGGTTGAGTCAATAGTGAATCCATTGAGAAAAGCCATGCCATGATAGACGACGTCAAAGATCTCAGACGCCCCATTTTGTTAGTCTGGTCCGTCCCACAACCCTTGTTTGGCGCATGTTGACCAAACAGGGGAGCGACTCACGTTTCAGCGCGTCTTGCTAGGTAGAAACGTGAACGTGCTCAGCCGGGGCTTCAGCTGTCCTTCAAAGCGGTGCAGCTGAAGGGCATGATGCTGAGAGTCCCATACCGGTTAGTTAGCATGAGCCGCCAAGCTTGTCATGTTACCAACAGCGTCTGAGAATTCGTATCATTGTCATGCCATGTCTGGACAAGTTATTCTTAGGATCTAGGGATGCTCTGAAGGGAGATATCTCCTGAGTGGTGCATGCCAACTCTGCAACAGATGGTGAGGACTGCAATCAAGTGGTCAACAAACGCGCTCGACGCGCTGCCATCCCCGCCATGGATGCATATGCATATCGTCTCCAGTATGAACTTTGCCGCCATTGGTAGGATTTGTGATTCGTCATGCAGGTTGTCGGTTGGACTTTTCGGATTTGGTCAGAGGATTGATAAGTCAGTTTGACTGCGGCCATGGGTCGGCCAAACTCGATCGACAGTAGGGTTTGTCGAACGGTGCTCATTCTTGTCTGTGCTTTCTGACCTGAGAAGCTGGGAGTATGAGAGCAAAAGTCTCTGGTGATGATGTGAGACGAATAAATATAGCAATGGTTCTTTCGTGGTGCAATTGGCTCAATTGTTCGTCAAGAATCCTCAAGCTACTTCGCGGTGTTGCTGTCAAAAGCAAATCCACCAACCACAAGCTCTCGTGTGATATTCCGACATTTATGCAAGCACAATTCAGTGGGCACCGACTGCGAGTCTCATGGCTGCATGCTCCCAGCTTTACTTGGTGAACACAATTGCCTCGAATCAAACCCCGAAAAGCCCAGAGCTCAAAGAAAAAGAGAGCGAGTTTAGGGCGATTGACCCCCTAGACTTGATCGGGTGAGGTAAAACTCCAACACTGGTGGACCCAATGGCATGTGGCCACTGGCGGAGACATGGCTCAACGCTGGTTGGCTCTGTATCATGCTGATCCTGCAAGGTACCATGCCCCAGATGCACCTCCAGGGGTCTAAGTCAGGGGTAGCGGTGCCAAAACTGGTAAGTACCAAGCTGACGAAGAAAACAATTCAACATGCATCTCGTGTTTTCTGATCTATCATGTCGGATCTTTTATGTCACTCCGGACGCGCCCGGGAAAAGACTCGGATCCGGCAAAAGAAGAGAATCAGTGTCTCTGAAGCACCATTTTCCTGTCGTCCATCAAAGGATGTTGTGTGTGTCAATGCTTCATGCTTACCGTAGTAAGGGCGAGACTTTTCGTATCACAGCCACAACCGTTGAGGCTTTGTTATGGTTGCAAAGATCAGAGCCAGATGGCGGTGGCCGTAGGACCGTTCATCGCTGAAGCCGGTAGTCTCTGAATAGTTTCATTCTGCTTCCCTTCAATACCCTATTCATTGTTAGCTAAGTCGGAATAATCTGGTAGACGCTAAAGTTGCCAAGGCGCGACCGACTTTTGGCCCCAACGTCAGGCTGATTTTGCTTGAACAAGCGTCGATCGCAAGTGTTTCGCACAAGAGAACCACGAGAAAAGGGGTCAAGAGAGAAGATCACACAGTAAGCCGTGTTGTGGCCCACCAGATGACGATGGATTGAACTACTGCAAGAACAGGGCCTCAGCATACACACCTCTCACAACAGATCCCGAACATGCAAGTCTTTCACGCCGACGAGACATGCCGTGGCGTGGTGGCATTGCTGTGGTACGATCCTTCGCTGGATCCTTTGATGCAGGTACGAGTACAATTCAGGAAATCCGTGTCATACTTGAAGCTACCGATGATAGCGGAGGTTTATTTCTGAAACGAAAGACAGAGTGTATGACGATAAACCTGACTTCGAAAACTGTATTGTAGCTTGCTTTGTAAAAATGTTCTCTGAAAAGAACTAATGGATCCAAAGATTCCGCAGAGAATGTCATCGTGTTCCCCTTTTTGGATCACCCCTGCAATTGTCGACATGGGAGTTGTCGGAACGTGGAGCCAGCAGATCTGACGAGATTGTTGAAGAAGGATGAGTCAGGATTAACGATGTGACTGGCGAGGCTGACTAGCATAAATCGGCATCTTGATGGGAATTGGAGATGCAATTGTTCTAACAATTTTCATAACTGAATAACGAAAAGAAGCAATGATCCAAAACCATGGGTTGTGTTTCTCGAACTCTCGAAACCAATTGTGGATCAAGGGAAGAGTCAATTGGCTGTGCCACTTACCATTCAACAAATGCAACCACAATTTGCCAGCATCAGGGAAAGATATCCCATCTTCTCTAAAGATAGTGCTGAAAACCGATAGAAAACCCCCAAAGAAGTGCGACATAAGTGAAAACCATTGGGAATAGAGTATTATCGGGTAATTGAAGGGAATCCATACTGCCCGTACCCGCATAATGGAGTACCGGATGACATTGCTGAAGTCCCGAGTCAATTCTGGCCTCCCAAGACTGGACTGACGGCACGGATTTTCGGCGACAGTCATACGTACCGGTACCCTTCGCTAACTGAAGACATTACGTCAGATGTAGTACAGTATCAGGGCGGTTTGAAGGTGCGAGGTTGAGATACGTGGCTGAAGACACAGAAATCTCCTGAAGTTATGGATTTGCTATTCGCAACCGAGGGAAGGGTGGGAACACGTGCCATATGTTTGATCTTCGCATTGCTCATGCGTCTCCTTTCAGTAAAAGTTTGGGATATTCACATCGAGAGGACAGGATTCGGGACTTGAAGAACGTTAGGACTAACAAGACAGACCAACAGCAGGGGCCTGTTCGAGACGTCAATTGCCTGTTACCAGTCAGCATGCAGTCATTGGGCCAGTTCGAAATCTTGCGGGATGATAAACCGATGGCTCGGGAGCTTGACATTTGTCTGGCTGGCTGAGTCTTCCGGCTGTCATGTTGCGGGTCTGATGATCAGCATCCATCATGACAAGTCCGACCATCAAGCGCGTCATGTCGTATTGGTTCCTGTAACCTTGACAAACAGGTTCGTCCGGTCTGATTCGAGCTGACTTGACCAATATCAATCTCGGTATTGAATAGAGCAACATGATTTGATAACGTCATGTAAAACTAGAATCGAGATGGTCAAAAAGAAGTGTGGCGCCAGCTGAAGCTATCTGGTGACGCCTTCCCTCCTCGTCAGACAACTGTTCGATGGGGTAAGACCGGACCGTTTCTGGGTTGCCTGTTTTGGCAGGAAGAGCTAACGTCAGAAATGGCGGCCAATAAGGAGTCAAGTTATGGAGGGCACAGAACCCTTTTACCGCTCCGTCTTGGGGGCCGTTTACCTGTCGTCCCCTAAAACGAACCCACTATTTTTATTGGCGCGTACCTTGCATTAGTGTGCATAGAGGAATGATCCAATGGATTCTGCATATCTGCACAACGCACGTCTATGAAAAGCTTCATCTCTGCACAACTTCACCCAAAGAGCCCACCTCAGCAAGGACCTTACCCCTGATGCAGGTACCGTGCCCTACCGATACTACCCAACTGAGGAATAGACAAACTCTCATTGACGCTTCAACTCCACTCCCGTACTTCCGACCATTCAAACTGTGCGTTTATTCAAGTCCTCGCCGCGTCCTTGCGCCTGGTCTTGGCCGTGACTTTTTGGTGTATCCGTCCGTTTACTGCAGCCGTCAGCCACATTGAATTCTTTGTTGCATGATGGATACCCTGGTCTGATGTCTGGGACGAGAACGCCGATCGTCTCTCACGATGCCAGTGCCAGTGTCAGACGGATCGAACTTGACACAGACTCAGAGTAGCGAAGCCAATGTGACATGGCAAAAACAAGATGAACTCAAGAGAAGCAAAAGTAATTAGAGGTTTATGATTGACAATTGATCACACGTCATGGAAGCTGAAGCACAAAGAACGACGCACAGGTAAAGATGCCGACCACCCAGAGCTAATTCTTCCCCAACAGCGGCAGTCTCGCGGGGCCCCTGGATGCTGATCCAGGGTTTGAACCACAAGTTCTACCCGGCCTCTGAACTTTCACACTTGCCAATTGTGGTATGTCTATTCCTTCAGGCTCATGGTTGGATGTCACCCAATCCAGGGACGGCACTGATTTAGCATATCTTGGAACTATCTGACGGACCGAAGTCCGGACAAGTCTGGGCCAAGAGACAATTGATACGAAGAGAAATCGAACCGGTCACGACCGCTGGATGGATGGACAAATGGGTGGATGTCTTTGTTCTGTGCGTTGGGGAGCTGGGATGTTTGTGGTGGTGTCGGATGTGGACTCCAAGCACGGCTTGAGTGGGTGTGCACGCCAGTGGTTCTCGTCAGCCACTCGTCAGTGGTTTGTTGGCAGAGTCTTCGTGCAGTTTTGGCCCGCTATGGCCTGCTTTGCAGGCCCCTCCCTCGTACACATTGTGCGGGCTGGATGTGACACGGTTGGCTTTTTCCACAAGGAAGGGCCTGTCCAATGCTGAGAATCTGATGTGATGGACGAACAAGGACGAGACAAATTCCTTATCTGGAGGTTACGCTGCTGACTTCAATTGTCGAACCAAGAGACAAGGCTGAAAAGGAGGTCAATTGTGAGTTACCTTTTGTGGCGACACGACAAGCTATTGCTAGCTGATCTCGCAAATTTTGGTTAGTTTGTGCTAACTTGGGCACATGCTGGCGTCGGGGCGTAACGTGTTTGAGGCCTTCGTTCTTGAAGGATACTCTCGAGTTGAGAAGAGTCGGACTGGCTGACTTTGGGGGCAGCGGGACCAGGGGGTAAAAAGAGAGAGACGATGACTGGCTAGGCTTGGGATCCATTGCTGGGCTCGGGCGACTTCAGGGCTGCAATGCATCAGCCCCCTGTCGCCCTCACCAACTGCAGACCAAACACGGCGGCGCTGTGGTTTGTAACGGTCCCGTCGCTGCCCCTTGGCGCGTTAAGCTGCTGTCTACCCTCCACCGAAGCGCATCACGACCGCCCAGTCAGGAGACGGAGGTGCCTGGGGCTAGGTAACTCTGTCAAGCCACTGCTCAGGTACCCGCACCTCTGTCTTTAACGCCAGGGTACATTGAGTCGAGGTTCCATCCTTTTTCCCTTTTCCTAGTTTCTGAGCGTTTTAGCACCGCGCCGTGTCCCCACACTACCTGCTAGTGGTGGTACCTTGGTCTGAGTCCTGTACCTTTTCTCCGATCGAGGTGCCCGCCCGTGGAGGGGACGGCAGCAAGAGGTGCAGGATTAGCCACTAGGTACAGACAGGTAGGCCTCTAGACTCTGCCGGCAACGGCTCTTCTCCTTTGAAGACTTCCCCCCATCCCCGTCCCCGTGCCCCGTCCGTTTCTCTTTTCCATCTTGCATCGCCAGTCCACACTCCTTGTGACCGCTTCTTCCGCTTCTTCTCCCTCGTCTTTTTGTTCATTCTTTTCTTTCCTTAAGTCACTCTCTTGAATTATTCAATCTTCAAGCCAATCTTCGGTTCCCGTCACTCTTTCCGGGTCCGTTCCTTTCTTTAGGCTCTACCAAGCTCAAACAGCTCTTACACCAGGATCGTTTCCACGTCCACAACGTTTTTAAAACGCCCAAAACCGTTCGAGACCGGCACATCCGCCATCACGATACTTTATTCTTACCTCCTTTTTCTGTTCTGCAGATCAAGGAATACACTCTTTATTTGAACTGACTACCGAATTAACCGTCATTCACTACGCTCCTTTACCGACTCGTCGATTTTGGCATCGCCGTCTTTTCTGTCTGATACTCCAGCTCACTTGAACGCGTCTGCATCAAGTGTAATCGACGACAACCGCTTCACAGCATCCGATTTCGACCAGTTTCATTTTATTTTATAATTTCAACCTGCATCTAGTGATCGCATCTCGCGATCTACTTTTTAGCAATGGCCACGGAGATTGAACACCCCATGGCCTTGGGCAATGTCCCCGAGGTCACCACACCCAACTCAACATCTTCACCATCTGTCCCGACCCCTGTCTCAGCCTCCATGAAAAAAGAGACACCATCCCCCTCTGCCTCAGCCGCCAACAATGCTTCACGACGACCTCCCCGCAAGAGTACTCTCACTCAACAGCAAAAGAACCAGAAGCGACAGCGTGCTACACAAGATCAATTGACGACATTGGAGATGGAATTCAACAACAACCCCACGCCCACAGCCACCGTCCGTGAGAGAATTGCCGAGGAAATCAACATGACCGAAAGGTCTGTTCAGATTTGGTTCCAGAACAGGTATGTGACAGGATGGAGACTTGTAGAATTTCGCTGACAGCAGCAGACGAGCTAAGATCAAGCTGTTGGCCAAGAAGAGTCTGGAGACTGGTGAAGACATTGACTCGATTCCCGAGTCAATGCGAGCTTATCTCGCTATGCAGGCTATGGAATCTGGCAAGGGTCTCGGCGGAAGTTATCTCGGCCGCACTGGACTGCTACCCTTTGGTCATGGTAACATGATGCTCGGTGGCGACCAGGGAGGTCAGGGTAAAGTTTGTGAGTATTTCGACCCGTCACGTAAAACGGTGTATTAACTGAACAGCAGTGATTCATCATCTTACCTGCCGATCCCTCAGCATTGGAAAATGGACTCGAGTTGGACAAAACACGATGGATCTCATCATTTTCTACTCACCCGACAAGTGCACCATGACCTACTACATCAACAACGAGCAGGCCGGCTACAAGATCGAGTACCCCTTCTCCTCCATCAAGAACATCTTCCTCGAGAATGGCGAAGGAGACCCAACCAAGCTTGGAGGGATTGTCATTGAGTTGAACAGGCCCCCGAACTTTTTCATGGACTCATCTCCCACCACCAACGGATTCTTTCAGTGTGGTGATTTCACAGAGGATCTTCAAGCTACCCAGTGTTTGGTTCACCACCTCGGTGGAAACCCCAAGGTGCTCAGTGGCCAGCTCGCCAAGCTGGTCTCGCTTGAGTCTTTCATGAACCGTCACAACCCTCACCCCTACAACGACCCTCACGTCCTCTCCGTCTCGGCTCCTGTCTCCCCGACCGCCCGACCTTCATCTCAGCCCAGCTTTCAACCTCATGTCGGCATGTACCAGGAGCAGTGGGGTATTCACCAGATGCACTCTGGCATGCGTCCTGGACCTGGCCACAAGCGTCAACGTTCGCGATCAGTTCCTGGACCTGTTGATTTCGCCATGTTCCAGAACCAGCCGATGCCTTCCTTCTACATCCAACCTCCTGGAGAGATGCCTCCTCCCCAGCACAACCCTCACATCTTTGCGCCTATTCCTCAGCCTCCCGGAAACAATATGGCTCCTAATCTGCGCATTGATACACAGGCAGGATTCGGCCTCGACATGCGTCAATACCCCATGTCTGCCACCACTGCTTCTCCTGCCGAGTTTCCTCCCAGCCCAGGCTTCTTCCCCCCCGGTCCCGAGGTTCCTCAGTCGAGCTACAACACACCTTATAGCAATGGTTTCCTGTCACCGATGGTTAACCCCGACACAGGTGTTCCCACTTCTGTTTCTCCTCTCCCATTCAACAGCCCTGGCGAGCCTTCCATTCTGGAGCAGTCACCTCCCATGTCAATGATGGGCCGCCCTGGCTCAGCTGATTTGTATCCCATGAACGACGGATCTTGTGCTGTTTCGGAGGATGGAGCGAGCCTGAATGAGATGTACTCTAAGCACACCATCAACCTGCCCATGCACACAACCTCGCCTGGTTTCGTGCAACACCAACAAGCAGACCTCGACATGGATCAGCTCGTGCAATTTGACGCAGTTGACCCCTCAAGCCTATCTCCCGAGGCAATGCCCCAAGCTCATCAAGGAAACTAAAAGAGTATAGGGCGGGTATAGGTGTTGGTGGTGTTTTATAGTATGTAAATCATACCAGGGCGTTTGGGCAAATTATACCATTGGGATTTCCTTTTCTTGTTTTCCGCCAGCTTCATATAGGCGACTTTCCTTGCCATCTTCTCAATTCTACCAAACTAGTTTCGATACCGATGGTGTCAGTTTGGTCGATTCTCCCCACTACGGCCATGAATGAACTTGCAT